CTGCGAGGGGTGCTTTCCTGACTGTGCCTGTGTTGGGGGGCTGGCCCTCAGACTTCTAAACATGCACGTTTACTGCCCCAGCGTGAGCCCAGGCGCTCCCAACCACCTCGAAATGGTCCAGTGTGGGGATCACATCACAGGGTTTGGGTGCTTGGGGCTGTGATACACTGATAATAGGTAAACTGAGGTCCAAAGGAGGAACAGGGCTCTTAACCTAGTGCTCTTTAAAGTCATCTGAAGCCCCCCGCAGGCACTGTCACACAGGGCTGGGATCTCACCTGCAGCCAGGGAGACACACACACACACACAGACCAGGGCTACAGGCACAGCCTCATACCTTTTCTCCATCACTCACTCTCTCGCCCACCTTCTCCAGGGCCCCCTTCACTCAAGGAAGGCAGACAGTGTGTTGGCCACGGCCCTCTCAGCACCCCCCAAGAGGTGGCGGAGAAGCTGTTGAGACCCACCCCCACTGAGACAGGTGTGAGGCTGGCACACCAGGAAAGGGATGGAAGTGAGACTGCAGGAAGGACTGGCCTGGTCTAACCCAGTACCCAGTGCTTGCCCGGAGCAGGAAAGGTACTCAGTAATTATCAACAAGAATGAATGAATCAAGAGCTGAACAAACAGCAAGAGGTATGGAAGTTAGACGGTAGGAAGGACTGGTCCAGTTATACGAGGAAGAATGGGGAGGTTAGCTTGAAGGGAGGTCTGGTCTCATCTCTACTACAAAGGCTACCGGTTAAACTGCAAGAAGGACCAGCCTCAGAATGTCAGAAACAAGGCAAGGAGAGGCGGGCTGGGTTCTCAGGGGAAAGTTGGGGTGGGTGCCGGCTGGGAGGACCAGAGAGAGCAAGGGAGCTCTGCTCAAGTGGGGAGAGGAGTTTAGAGGACTCCAGGCCTGGGGGAGCCCACTTGGCGGGTGGGGGAGGTCTTCTTCCTCCAGGTCTCCCCTGCCAGGGGCGGAGACAGTGGTGTGTAGGAGGAGGGCGCACTGGCTCCCAGGGAGAGCCAGAGAAGAGGAAAGAGAGACAGAAACAGAGACTGAGATACCCAGAGACAGAGATGGAGATGAGGGGGAGAGAGAGAGAGAAAGAGAGAGAGGGAGAGAGAGATGCGGACATGGGAAGAGACAGAGACACGGAGAAAGCAGAGACAGAGAGAGACACTGGAAGGCTGAGACAGGGGAGAGAGGCAGAGACACAGAGACACAGAGAAACAGAGATGGCGCAAGAGGAAAGGAGAGAGAAACCCAGGACTTAGAGACAGTAGAGACAGAGCCCCCCGGCACAGAGACACAGAGAGTGAGACAGGAGTGAGAGACTGAGAGACAGAGACTTCCAGAGGCGGCCAGACTCTGCTAGACAGAGACCCCTGACAGATGTGGAGAGACAGAAAGATGAGACCCAGACACAGGAAGGCGGGGGCGGAGGTAGAGAGCGCGGGAGGGGGGGTGCCCCAGACGGGGTGGGGGCGGGGTGTCCTCCCCCTCCAAGTACCCAGGCGGCCCCCCTCCCCAGCCGCCTGAGAACCAGGAGGGGCTGAAGGTGTTGGGGCGACTGGTGGCACTCCCACCCCACAGAAGGTACCCATGCTGGGCCAGGCAGCCCCCCACCTCCATAAACCAGCCCAGGGAAGCCAGCTTCAGGCTTCCCGAACCGCCCCCATTCCGCGCCTGGGGTAACCCCGTCCTTTTCCCACGCCCCCACCTACCCACCAATGGGGTCTCTTACCTGCAGCTACAGCCTGCAGCAGGTCCCCCCAGCGCTGGGCTGGCAGTGGTGGGCGACTCCGCCCGAAAGAGAGAGAGAGATTGAGAGAGAGAAAAGCCGGAGACTGAGAGGGAGAGCCGGGGAGGAGGGGAGGGAGAGGGGATAGAGGGAGGAGAGGAGGAGAGGGGAGGGACACGGGGGAGGGGGAGTCGGCGAGGGAGCGAGAGAGGGGGAGGAGCCGGAGGGAGGGGGAGGAGGCGGAGGCGGGCAGAGGGGAGGCGGTGCGGGAGGCGGGGGAGGCCCGGGGAGGGGCCTGGGGGAACAGGGCGGGAGGAGCAGGGAGCCCGAGCCTCCTCCCCAGCCTCCGGGTTCAGCACCAGAGGCAGGGGACAGCAGCGGAGGGCGCTCCTGTGCGTTTCAGAAGCAGCCCCCGCCCCCCAACACACACACGCGCGCACACACACACACGCACACAGTCTCCCAGCCATACAAGGGCCAACAGCTACAAATAGTTACAGACTCACAGAACTAGGGGGAGGGCAAGAATGTTTAGCTGGAGTCAGATCCAAATTCACATACTGTGCCTGCACAGCCTCACAAAGGAGGCCAGAAACAACCACAAAGACACCCATTAATAAGAATAACAACAGCTGCCATGCATACAGGCAGCCCTGACCACGTGCCTGGCATCGGCACCACATTATTATTTGAGACAGGGTCTCACTCTGTCACCCAGGCTGGAGTGCAGTGGCACGATCTCAGCCCACTGCAGGCTCAACCTCCTGGGCTCAAGCAATCCTCCTGTCTCAGCTTCCCGAGTAGCTGGGACTACAGGTGCCCGCCACCACCACGCCAGGCTTTTTCCCTCTATTTTTATTTTTATTTTTAAGAGACAGGGTCTCACTGTTACTCAGGCTGGTCTCCAACTCCTGGGCTCAAGCAATCCTTCTGCCTCGGCCTCCCAAAGTGCTGGGATTACAGGTAAGAGCCACCGCACCTGGCATGTTCTAACTTTTTTTTTATAAATTCAGGACATATGTTGAGACAATCGACCGTTACACCCACTTTGTGAGGTAAATGCTATTATGAGCTCCACTTACAGACAGGGAAACCAAGGCACGAGGTGGTAAATATGGCTCCAGATTCCACACCCTTAACTGCTGCACCGTACAATTCCCCAGGCTGAGGACGGGTCAAGTCAAGAAGACACCTGCAGGTTGGGCACGGTGGCTCATGCCTGTAATCCCAGCACTTTGGGAGGCCAAGGCAGGCGGATCATTTGATGTCAGGAATTTGAGACCAGCCTGGCCAACAAGGCGAAACCCCGTCTCTACTAAAAATACAAAAAGTAGCTGGGCGAGGTGGCGCACATCTGTAATCCTGTAAGCTACTTGGGAGGCTGAGGCAGGAGAATCGCTTGAACCTGCGAGGTGGAGGCTGCAGTGAGCTGTGATCATGCCACTGCACTCTAGCCTAGGCAACAGAGTGAGACTCCATCTCTAAAAAAAAGAGACAGAAATGAACTGCAAAGGGCCAGGCAGGTGGCCTGGGTTCCTGAAGACACAAACTCACGTGCCCTCTGATGGGCCCACACACATACCCGCACACAAGCACACACCTCTGCAAGGCATACCATCACTACACCTACTCCCAATCCCACTCCCCCCCACGACAGGGGGTGGTGGTGTGTGAGTCGGTGTGGAGTGCTCCTTCTCCGCAGGTGGACAGTGGGAGGGAGGGGGCCCTGCTCGTGCCACCGGTCCTGCCCACTGCCAGTCCTGGCTGGACACCATCAGGCCTGCTGCCAGGGGAGGGAGAGGATCCGGCTCCCTGCAACTTCCCACGCCTGGGCCTGGCTTCTGGGAAAGAGGGTGAAGACAGGGATGGCCAGGAGTTGCTGAGCTCCTAACTCCCATAAACGCTCGGTAGACAACTGGTGGCTGGGTCTTCTCTGTCAGTGCTGGTGGTCAGACTTCTGGGTGGACCTCCATAGCGGGAGGCAGACAGATGGCCAGAATGACTACAGTGTCTGCCTCTCCCCTGAACCCCCCAGGAAGCAGGTGTCCTGCCCAACTCCTGCCCCCAGCCTGGATATGGCCCAGGAAATGATCATCCCCCAACCCTGCTGACCCAGATTCTATTCCTGGCCTGCAGTGGAGGGAGGACAAGACTTGTATCGTTCCCGCCCTCCACTGGTCCTAGAGACACAGGCCTCTGATTCCTTCTCCTGGTAATACAGAAAGGAGCACAGGAGGCCGCGCACGGTGACTCACACCTGTCATCTCAGCACTTTGGGAGGCCGAGGCGGGCGGATCACCTGTGATCAGGAGTTTGAGACCAGCCTGGCCAACATGGTGAAACCCTGTCTCTACTAAAAATACAAAAAATTTAGCTGGGCATGGTGATGCACGCTTGTAATCCCAGCTACTCAGGCGGCTGAGGCAGGAGAATCGCTTGAACCGGGAGGCGGAGGTTGCTGTGAGCAGAGATTGCGCCACTGCACTCCAGCCCGGGAGACAGAATGAGACTCCGTCTCACACACACACACACACCAGACCACAGGCAAGGCAACTCCTACCACCACAGGCTGGGAGAATCAGGCTTGTCTCCCGGCTCCCTGGGCCCCCAACCCCCTGGGCATTTTAGATTAGGTCTAAGCTTAGCCCTTTCTAGCATGGTCTAGCCTGAAAGTCTTCTCTCTGGGTCTTGCCTCAGTGCTTCCCACTGGGAACTCAGCTCACTTTCTGCTGGGGTTTAACCCTGGCCCCTTGCAGGGGTCTGGCCATACCTACTTTTTGTTGGGGTCCAACCTCAGCATTATTCATAGTGAGTCTAGCCTCAGACCCTCTGCTACAAATGGACCACTGCTCTCCCACAGCAGCCCTTTCTACCCACAAGTTTTCCTCTAAACGCTCAAGCTCCTTGCCTTTCCACTGGGATCTACCCTCAGATCTAGATCTTTCCACCGGCGTCTCATGTCAGCCCACTCCACTAGGGTCTAACCTCAATTCACTTGCTGGGGTCTAACCTCAGTTCTTTTCCTTCCACTTTACATAGTCTGTTCCACAGCGGTTTAACTTTAGCCTTTCTGCTAAGGTGTCACCTCATTTCTTTCTCTCGGGTTCTACCCTGGGACCTAACCTCCATCCTGTATCTGGGTCTAGCCTTGGATTCCCTCTCCCCCAAATCCGTCTCCCTCAATTCCTCTGGGTGAATCCAGCATCCAACACAGAGCCAGGCATACAGCAGGTGCCCACCAAATGCTTGCCGAACAAAATAATCGAAACAACTGGGAAATGCTGTTCTTCTGGACATATAAATAACCATCAGTTAGCCAATTCTCATCAAGAGTGGACAGGGTGGGTCGGGATCATCCCTGCTTTCAAATAGGGACACTGAGGCACAGAGAGAGGAGTGGGTTAGCTGGGGTCTCAGGGCACAGCTTCACCACCCTGGGGAGGTCTGAGGACAGCATCCTGTCCTTCAGGACACCCCCCACCAGCGGGTGGCGGTGAGCACGCCATGAGTCGCCCCAGGTCTGGGAAGAGTGGGTGCATGGGTGCTTAAGAGGCTGCATTCTCAGCTGGCCCTGCACCTGCCTCGTCCTCCGACCCCTGTAGCCGACGTCTCCTCTGCTCCACTTGACGTCGAAGCCGGGTCAAGACCAGCTCCGAGGCCTGGATCAGGCTGTGCTGTGGGGAACAAGAGAAGGAGGGGGACGGAGCTGAGGAAGAGCTGCAGAGGGGGAAGGTTACATCATGGCGGGACTGTCTGGAGTGAAGCAACTCCAAAGGCCAGGAGCTCGGCTCAGGTGGGAGGGCAGAGAGCAGACCACAGTGTGTGGGATGGGAATGGGGGGGTGAAGGAGAGTGGCCTTAAGCGAATTTCTGGTGGGAGGGACAAAGCCTAGACCCAAATGTAAGGAAATGAGATTAGAAGGAACATAAAATGTAGCCAGGCGTGGACGCAGGCGCCTATAATCCCAGCTACTCAGGAGGCTGAGGCAGGAGAATCACTTCAACCCAGAAGGTGAAGGTTGCAGTGAACTCAGATCACGCCACTGCACTCTAGCCTGGGAAACAGAGCAAGACTTTGTCTCAAAAAAAAAAAAAAAAAAAAAAAAAGGGCCGGTGGCTCAAGCCTGTAATCCCAGCACGTTGGGAGGCCGAGGTGGGCGGATGACTTGAGGCCAGAAGTTCAAGACCAACCTGGGCAACATGGTGAAACCCCATCTCTACTAAAAATACAAAAATTAGCTGGGCATGGTGGCGGGCGCCTGTAATCCCAGCTGTTTGAGAGGCTCAGGCGTGAGAATCGTTTGAACCTGGGAGGTGGTTGCAGTGAGCTGAGATCGAGTCACTGCACTCCAGCCTGGGTGACAGAGCAAGACTCTGTTTGAAAACTCAAAGAATAAAAGAATAAATAAATAAATGAATCTCCTTCATCAGGCCGGTGCCCCCACCCCAGCTGCTGTGAACGCTCACAGGTGCCCCTTTCTCCTGGGAGCTGTCCTGGCCGGTAGGAACTGCCTACCAGAAATGAGTTCCTCCCTCCCCTGGGAGGTGGCCTGCATCCCCTGCCCGGAACTGCTGAGGTCAACCCTTCTCCCCGAGAGCCGGGGTTACCTGCAGGATGTGCACGCCCTTCAGGGAGACCACGGCAAGCTCCTGCAGCCCGTCCCCGGTCAGGTCCACATGAGCCATGGCCAGCAGGGGACTGGAGAAGCCCCGCTGCCACAGCAGGCGGAACCCGTGCTGGGCCTCAGGGAGCCCCGACTCTGGGCCCTGGTACTTATAACACAGCAGTTCCTGCAGGGGTGGAGAGTGAGGTCACACAGGTAGACGGGGAGCACAGTGGAGGGAGGCCGCTGGGTGGTGGCTCCAACCGTCAGGTCCCACCTGTCCGTAGGTTGCCACCAGGACTTCTGGCCGCCCATCCAAATCCACGTCGGTGACCAGGCCACAGAGGACGCTGTCAAATTGGTCACTGCCGGGCAGGAGAAGCTGGTCTTCAAGGCCCCGGTGCAGCAGGTCCCTGAGGGTCCCAAATGCAGCAGACAGACTGGGGTTAGCTTGCAGTGCCCGGCACCCTTGGCAGACGCTGAGCTGGGCACCGGTACTGCTTCCCTTCTCAGGCCTAGACACACTGGTCCTCCGGAAGCCTAGACGTCAACATCTCAGATTTGGACATATTCATAGATCCAGCGGGGGGTCAACCTGTGCACTCAAGCCCTTCACCTCCAGGACCACCTCACTCCCAGATGGAAAGCTGCAGGGTCCCATCTGGGGATTCAGACACATGTGTCCTCAATCTAGACACCCACGCTGCCTTCATGGAACCCCAAAGAGGGCTTCGCCTTGGCCGGACACCTTCACCACCCCTAGAGGGGTGCCAGAGCTGGCCACAGTCGCTTCCGAGAGCTGACTGGGAAACGTTCCCATGTAATCACGTTCATGGTTTGAAAGCCACCGTGGCGGAAGTATTTACACTCTGGAAACTCTGGTAAATGCTACAAACCTGGGCTTTCCTCGTGCATAGCCAGTGATTAGCCATTTGCCAGCACACCTACTACATCCACTCCAGGGGGCATCTCTGCTCCCACCCCCCAACCTCAACATATTCCCTGCAAGTCTAGACTTCAATATTCACAGTCCCCGCCCCTGGGTCACGAGTATCTTTACTTGTCCAGCTCTGGGTAATCCACCCAAAGGAACTTACTGTGGAGAATGACAAGGTTAGACCACAGCGCAAAGAAACAAGGTTAGACCATACCCATGTGTCTCAGGCCCCCTTACCGATACACCACTGCTGGCTCCAACATGCTGGCCACGAGCACGCTGTACTCATCCTGTGCTGGCTTGTCCTTGGTCTCTGGAGAAGAAACATGAATGGTAATCCCAGCACTCTTGAGAGGTCGAGGCGGGTGGATCAGCTGAGGTCAGGAGTTCAAGACCATCCTGGTCAACGGGATAAAACCCCGCCTCTACTAAAAATATAAAAATTAGTCAGGCATGGTGGCAGGCACCTGTAATGCCAGCTACTCAGGAGGCTGAGGCAGGAGAATTGTTTGAACCTGGGAGGCAGAAGTTGGAGTGAGCCGAGATCGCACCACTACACTCCAGCCTGGGTGACAGAGCGAGACTCCGTCTCAGAAAAAAAAAAAACCAAACATGAATGAAGAGGGGAATGGTTTTGTGGGGACAGGTTCTGGGCTCCTCGTCATACCCCAGGCCCCTTTAATGACAGACATGCAGGTTAGATCTCTGGAAAAACTCTTGAGGCTGTGTTACAGAGGGAGGGTAAGAGATTGGCCTATGAGAGAAATTATGAACGTCAGACACCAGAAGGAGAAATATGTGTTAGATGATAGTCTGAGGTTCCGGGTGCGGTGGCTCACGCCTGTAATCCCAGCATTTTGGGAGATCGAGGCAGGCGGATCGCCTGAGGTCAGGAGTTCGAGACTAGCCTGGCCAACATGGTGAAACCCTGTCTCTACTAAAAACACAAAAATTAGACACAAAAATTAGCCCGGTGTGATGGCATACACTTGTAATCCCAGCTACTCAGGAGGCTGAGGCAGGGGAATTACTTGAACCCGGGAGGTGGAGGTGACAGTAAGCCGAGATTGAGCCACTGCACTCCAGCCTGGGCGACAAAGCCAGACTCTCTCTGGGGAAAAAAAAAAAAAAAAGACATTTGTGTACGTATGTTTACAGCAGCCCTTCACAACTGCAAAGATGTGGAACTAACCTAAGTGGCCATAGACTAATGAGTGGAGAAAGAAAATGTGGCGCATATACATCATGGAGTACTACACAAGTCATAAAAAGGAATGAAATATTGTCTTTTGCAGCAACTTAGATAGAACTGGAGATCCTTATCCTAAGTGCAGTAACACAGGAGGGGAAAACCAAAAAATGTATGTTCTCACAGAAGAGGGAGCTAAGCTCTGAGTACACAAAGGCATACAGAGTATATGATGGGGTCTGGAGATTCAGAAGCGGGAAGGTAGGAGGGGGTGTGGGATAAAAGCTACACATTAGGTACAACAGACGCTACTCGGGTGATGGGTGTATTAAAATCTCAGAATCCATCACTATAGAATTTATCCATGCAACCAAAACCACTTGTGTCCCCAAAGTGATTGAAATTTTTTTTTTTTTTTCTTTTTTGAGACAGAGTCTCACTCCATCGCCCAGGCTGGAGGGCAGTGGTGTGATCTCAGCTCACTGCCACCTCCACCTCCTAGGTTCAAGCGCTTCTTCTGCCTCAGCCTCCCGAGTAGCTGGGATTACAGGCGCCCACCACCACGCCCGGCTAATTTTTGTATTTTTAGTAGAGATGGGGTTTCACCGTGTTGGTCAGGCTGGTCTTGAACTCCCGACCTCAGGTGATCTGCCTGCTTCAGCCTCCCAAAGTGCTGGGATTACCGCGCCTAGTCAAAACTTTTTTAAAAAAGCAAAATGCCGGTCAGGGACAGACCCCAGTAAAGGAGCAGGAATGATCAACATACTGGGGGAAAAGGCTAGACTCTGGGTGGTGGGACGGTGGTGAGTCCAGGAGCATAGCCGGGAGCTAGACTGCAGCAAGACACAGTGAAGGGGCCACAGAGTGGGGTGAAGAAGTCCCGATGTGAGACGTGCAGGTTAGGGTACAGAGGGAGAGGTGGACGCTCAGCCCCAGGCTGCGGGGCTAAGGTTACACCAAAGTGAGGAGAACAACTCTGGACCCTAGCAGAAAATATATGGGTTAGGCCCCATGTGCCAGTCCTGGAAGTTAAATTCACAGGAGGGGAGGGGAGGGAAGAGGTGCACTGTAATTCAAGGCCTGGAGTGCGGGATGCAGGAGGAAGGGACTGGGGGCTGGACACTTTCGGAGAGGGGTGCAAATCTGGGTGGGAGGACCCAAGAATGCAGAGTTGTCTCTTCCCCCGACACGTTCCCTCCACCGCTCTCTCCCCATCCCCTCAAACCCAGAGCTCACCCTTGGGGGCCGAGAGGCTGAACACGATCACTCGGGAGATGGGGCCGTCCTGCAGGACCGACCACATCTGCAGAACCTCTGCGTGGAGAGCGAGGACTCAGAGCCCCAGCCCCACCCCGGTCCCGCCCCCAGCCCTGAAACTTTTGCCTTTCCCCGCCACCGTTCAGCCCCACCCTAGCCCCGCCCCTCCGCAGCTCTCAAACTCACCCAAGCCCCGCCCCCAAGCCCCACCCTCATCCCTTCCCCCCATTACCCTACCTCACCCAGCTCCAGCCCATGGCCCCACCCTAGCCCCGCCCGGCTAGCCCCACCCTCATCCCTCAACCCCCTTACCTCCCTCTCCTACCCCACCTAGCTCCAGTCCTCAGCCCCAACCTGGCCCCGCCCCCAGCCCTCAACCCCACCCCTTACCCCGCCTCACCGTGGCCCTCACCTCGACTCTGCTGGTCCACGTGGGCGACACGGACATAACCACTCTGACAGCCCAGAGCTGAGAGGCGCCGGGACGTGCCGGGGAGGTTGTGGACGTCCAGCCAGAGGACGCTGGCGGGCGGATGGATGGACAGGACCGAGGGCCATTGCTGGGCCCAGCCCCGCCCCTCTGCCTCCCCAGGGGCAGCTGCCCCTCCCTGTAGCCCTGGGACCCTGCTGCCTGATTCCTCCTGGATAATCCTCACCGCCCAATTCCTCTGGGGTCAATTCTCACCACCCGAGGGCTGAGTCCACCTCTTGTTTTTTCTGGTGTCACCCCTGCTGATCAATTTCTCTGAAGTCAGGCCGTGGACTCGTTTTTCTGAGCTCCTCCCCGGTGCCCAATTTCTCTAAGGTCCCACCGCCTGATTTCTCTGAGGTCACTGCCCCGGTCCCCAGTGGCCTCTTTCGGGGCCTCTCCTACCTACTGGTCAGGTTCGTCAGCTCTGGGAAGAGGTTTTCCACGGGCTGTTCCTCAAACTGATGCAGCCCCTCATTCTGGGGGAACCAAGACCCACCCCACCCCCGCTTAAGTCAGTTTCACACATATACCCACCCAGCGCCAGCCCACAGTGAACCCCACAGGGCTCTGCCCAGCACGCCTCCCCGCCTCACCTCCTTGTAGAGATGAACAGCCGGGTCATTCCCACTCAAGAGAAACACGGTCTCCAGTTGATCCCCGACCTGGACCCTGAAAGCAGAGAAATCTAGAACCCAAGGTAGTGGAATCCATGTGGTCTGAGAACCAGAACTCTTCTCTTGCAAAAACCCCGGCCTGTTGAGAACCTTAATATTCTGGGATCCAGACACTAGACCCAGGGTTAGAATCTCAGGGCTCAAGCTCCTGAGTACTCTATCTCCTTGAAATACACAACTGTAGAAACGAGCCCTCAGAGAATCTCAGAATCAGGGAATGTACCTCCCAATCTCAGAATTGAGGGAACATGGCTTGCTAGAACCTCCCACTCTTAGAGCCCGCATCTACTCCTACCTTCGCTCTGTGGATTTAGGAATGGAATGTGGAACTCTAGAATGAACTGTAGAACCTTAGAAAGCTAGGACCTCTTCAATCTGAAACCCCAGTATTCTAGAAGTGCTGTTTTCTGTCTCCTTAGAAATACCAGAACTTCTAAAATTTGCCATCACAGATTTCAGATTCACGGAATGATAGAATATCCAAATCCTAGCAAGAAGAACATTAGCGCAATTAGAATCTTCAGTTTCGGGAACTCTCACCTGTTAGACCAGGGGTTGGCCAACTATGACCTGTAGACCAAATCCAACCCACTATCTGTTTTTGTAAATAAAGTTTTATTGGAACACAGCCACATTCATTCATTTACACAGTGCCAATGGCTGCTTTCTGGCTACAATGGCAAAGTGAGTAGTTGTGACAGACTGGCCCTCAAAGCCTAATATTTAGTATCTGGACTTCCACCAAAAAAAGTTTGCCAATCCCTGTTCTAGACCATCTGTGTTCTGGAATGGAATCTAGAACTCTAGAATGGATTCCACACACGTTGGGGTTCTAGCACCTTGGTATTCTAGATGGTCTATGTTCTATCTCCTTGAAAGATGAGAATGTCACCGGGCGCAGTGGCTCACGCCTGTAATCCCAGCACTTTGGGAGGCCGAGGCGGGCGGACGGATCACGAGGTCAGGAGATCGAGACCATCCTGGCTAACACGGTGAAACCCTGTCTCTACTAAAAATACAAAAAATTAGTTGGGCGTGGTGGCGGGCGCCTGTGGTCCCAGCTACTCGGGAGGCTGAGGCGGGAGGCTGAGGCAGGAGAATGGCGTGAACCCAGGAGGCGGAGCTTGCAGTGAGCCGAGATCGCGCCACTGCACTCCAACCTGGGTGACAGCGAGACTCCATCTCAAAAAAAAAAGAAAGATAAGAATGTCAGGAATTTATCATTACAGAACCTCAGAAGATTCTGTCTTCTATCTTACTGTAGAACATTCAAATGTTGGAATCTTAGAGCTTACGACTCTAGAAAACTTAGCATCTCTGATCTTGGAATGTCGGACTCTAGAACGTTAGAATCTGGGAACTCTAGATGTGCAGAATTCCCAGAATTCCCAGGTGCTCCATCAAGTCTCTCAGATTATCTAGTTCAGGAATGGCAGGGTGGTGGCCCCTTGGCCATCTGGTCTATGGCCACCTTAAAATCATGATGCTTGGGCCGGGTGTGGTGGCTCACGCCTGTAATCTCAGCACTTTGGGAGGCTGAGGCAGGCAGATCGCCTGAGGTCAGGAGTTCGAGACTAGCCTGGCCAACATGGTGAAAACCGATCTATACTAAAAATATAAAAAGTAGCCAGGCATGGTGGCATGAGCCTGTAATCCTAGCTACTCAGGAGGCTGAAGTAGGAGAATCACTTGCACCTGGGAGGTAGAGGTTGCAGTGAGCTGAGATCAAGTCACTGCACTCCAGTCTGGCAACAGAGCGAGACTCCATCTCAAAACCTCTAGTTGTAGCACCATTAAAATACATGACCTGCCAAAAAAAAAAAAAAAAAAAAAAAAAAAGCACAATGCTCTAAAAAACAAACATAGAATCTGATTGTGGGCAAGTTCGTGGTCTCCACTTAGCTACAGCTTTCCAACCTCAGCTGCATATGCGTGTGTGCACACATGCTACCTGTTACATTACACTTGTGCTTTCCATTCTCACATGACCTCCCTGGTCCCCAAAGGCATTTTAGTTTAATTTAATTTATTTATTTTTGAGACAGAGTTTTGCTCTTGTCACCTGGGCTGGAATGCTGTGGTGCAATCTTGGCTCACTGCAACTTCCACCTCCCAGGTTCAAGTGATTCTCCTGCCTCAGCCTCCTGAGTAGCTGGGATTACAGATGCATACCACCATCCCAGCTAATTTTTGTATTTTTAGTAGAGACGGGGTTTCGTCATGTTGGCCAGGCTGGTCTCGAACTCCTGACCTCAGGTGATCCATCCGCCTCGACCTCTCAAAGTGCTGGGATTACAGGTGTAAGCCACCGTGCCCGGCTGGCATTTTAGTTTTCAATCTCTAATCTAGTACAACCTCTTTATTTTCCAGAAGGGGAAACAGACTACAGGGGTCTGTAAGTAAAGAAGGGGTTTGAGAGCTCAGGGTTTCTACATTTACAGTGGGGTGGGCGCGGATGCCCAGGGGACACTCACTCTGCATGGCACAGCTGGAACGGAGTGAACTGGAGCTCCAGGTTCAGGCAGCTCTCTGTAGGGACGGGCACGTGAGCATGGGGGACCTGCTGGGGACCCTCTCCCTCCTCCCGTCCACGCCTCACTCACGGGCAATGGAGTCAAGGTTGTACTCAGAGCCGGGCTCATAGTCGCAGTAAATGTTCAGGAAGGGGCTACCCTTGTCCCCTGAATCCTGGGGGAGGACACGGGGTTCAGGGGAGGGCAGGGGTGGCAGGTGGGATCTGGGGCAGCTCAGTGGAACTCACCATGTGTGTAAGGAGGAGGGCGAAGGGAGGTGGAGGGGGCTCTAGGTACCTTGATGAACGTGATCCCCACAACCAGACCTCGCTTGGGGGGTGACTTGTTGAAAGTGTCAATGGAGACAATCTCCGCGTCCACTGGGAGGGGAGAGTTCTAAGTTCAGTGTCAGGCAGACTCATGACTCCGATCTCCCAAACATGGTGAACTCCGGCCACCGCAATGATCATGCCCTCTGGTCTGAGTCCTGACCGCCATCACCCGACCTCTGTTCCCTGGGTACCAGGGATCCTGACCTGTAAGTCTGAAGAATCCTGAAACCCTAGGCTCATCCAGGCCCCAACTATGCCTGCCTCCTGATCCCAGTGACCCCCTTAAACCACCCCGATTCCATTCTCCCAGCACGGTGACCCGGCTCAGAGAGAGCCTCAGAAGCCTTCTCAACACCACGTTCCAGGGCCCTCCCAGCACCATAGCGCCACCCACCGGGAATGTAGTTGAACTGCAGCTCCTTGGCCACTGGCCGGATTTTCTGTCGGAGGTCTTGGTAGCGGAAGCCGAGCACCTTGCCTTTAAGCGTGGCGGCCAGCAGCTCCCCGCGCCCGCCGGCGCCGCCTGCCAGCCCATACACATTACTCTGCGACGAGAAGCGCGTGAAGCTGTCCTCGCGCAGCGGACAAGGCCCCGCGGCCACGGCCGCCTCCCCCATCACGCCCCTCAGTTACGCACCCTCTCGGCAGCCCCCGCCGCAACCCGCACTACCCAACCTACGACTCTCTAAGCGACCTGAACCGCCGGGTGCCCGGCCGTTGCGCAGGCTGATGACGTACAAGAAGCTGCTGGCGTTGCCCTCTCCCAAGATGGCGGCCAGATTGCATGCTCGGGGCTCCCAGGCAACTTTGACCCACTGCGCCTGCGCACTCTTCTCCTTTCCATTTCTGGACCAAGTGGCTGCCATAAGGAGTCTGTGACTAGAGGTGGGAGGTGGCGGCCACGGCTTCTCGCTCTATGCTGTGTGGAAGGTCGAATCATCATCATCGTAAAACTTAATATTGCCCTTATGTGCCAGGAACTACTATAAGTGCATTCCATATAATTTATTAAAAATTTGGAAGGGGGTGGAGGTAGGTACTTAAATCCATTTTACAGATGAAGGAATTGAGGCACAGAGGGGTAAAGTAACTTGCCTAAGATCACACAGCTAGTAACGAGCGGTCAGTACTGGAAACCAAACAAGATAATTCCACAGTTCATTTTTTTTTTTTTTTTTTTTTTGGAGACAGAGTCTTGCTCTGTCACCCTGGAGTGCAGTGGTGCGATCTCAGCTCACTGCAACCTCTGCCTCCTGGGTTCAAGCGATTCTCCTGCCTCAGCCTCCCGAGTAGCTGGGATTACAGGCGCCACCACACCTGGCTAGTTTTTCTATTTTTAGTAGAGATGGGATTTTGCTATGTTGCCCAGGCTGGTCTCTAACTCCTGACCTCAGGCGATCCACCCACCTCGGCCTCCCAAAGTGCTAGGATTATAGGTGTGAGCCACCTTGCCCGGACCATACTTCATAATCTTAACAGTATCACCTTTAAAATAATGAATACATTCTTCTTGATCCCAAGGAAAAATGATCCAGCTATAATAACCAACTCTTTTATCGAACACCTACTTGATGACAGTCATGCTGGCTCTGATAATCTGACTCCTCACAATTGTTCTGCAAGGGCCTACTGTTACCCTCCCTGCTGGTTCACTTATTCAGGATTCATTGAGTTTTTACTGTGTGCCTGGACATCCTTTGCAAATCTATCTCACTAATCTTTGCAAGAAAGAAACCTCTTCAAAGGGGTTTATTATCCCAGTTCACAGAGGATGAAATGGAGGCTCGGAAAGAGTAACTCCACTGACTGACTCATTAGTGGTGGGGACAGGATGTAAACCAGGTGTTCCCCAATATGGGGCCTTCAGGGGTTCCTATCTGTGCTTCTTTGTCCCTAGAAGGCCACGAAGGTTTGGGTACTCTGTGCACATCTGTGTATCATTTCCAGAAAACATGGGTTGGCCAGCTGTCCTGGACACCTCGAGCACACACAAACTGCAAGCTCCATGAAGGAAGCAGCTGATCTCCCTTGATCACAGTCTTATCGCCTGTACCTGGACCACAAGACCTGACACAAAGCAGGCATTCAGTAAATTTGTGTCAAAAATCACAAACCATGTGCTGAGCACGTAAGAGACAGCAAATGGAAAGTTCTCAAAGGCAGACTGGATAAGGGAGGTGGCAAGAAGGAATTTGTGATGATTCCAGATTTCTGGATGTGGGGAGAAGTTCCTGGAGGGTAGTCTGGGAATGCCATCAGTGCTGCTGTGTTCCCAGGGCCTGGCATGCAGCAGGTGCTTAGTGAATACTTGCTGAGGGAGTGGCACGTGGGTCTAGTGCTACTTCATCAGTGCGTTTCCTTCAGGTGTCTTCCCTCCCTAGTAACCTATAAGCCACATGTTGAGCGGATGAATAAAAAAATGAAGTTACAGGTTAGGAAGGAATCATTCTGTTCAGAGGTTTCCAATCCTAACTGCACACTTGAACCGCCTATGAAGCTTTAAAAAGCAAACCAAAACAGGCCGGGCGTGGTGGCTCATGCCTGTAATTCCAGCACTTTGGAAGCTGAGGCAGGCGGATCACCTGAGGTCAGGAGTTTGAGACCAGCCTGGCCACCACGGTGAAGCCCTGTCTCTACTAAAAATACAAAAATTAGCTGGGCGTAGTGGCACACACTTGTAATCCCAGCTACTCGGGAGGCTGAGGCAGGAGAATCACTTGAACCCAGGAGGCAGAGGTTGCAGTGAGCCAAGATTGCACCACTGCACTCCAGCCTGGGTGATAGAGCGAGACTCTATCTCAAAAAAAAAAAAAAAAAAACAAAACAAAAACAAAAACCCAAAACAAAAGGGTAGGAAACCTAGTCAAACCGTAATTTATCAGAGTGCGGCCCCAGCCTGGATACTTTTATTTTTGCGCCATGATACCTAATTTTTGTATTTTTAGCAGAGACAGGGTTTTGCCATGTCAGCTAGGTTGGTCTTGAACTGCTGACCTCAAATGATCCACCAGCGTGGGCCTCCCAAAGTGCTGCGATTACAGGCATGAGCCACAGCACCCAGCCCCACGCCTGGATACTTTTAATGACTTTAAAGCATAGTCAGGGCTGACCATCACTGATTTAGGTCATGGATGGCAGAAACAGATTCTCACACTATCCTTCAGCCAGTGCGCACAACAGGGGCAGACATGGTAATCAATCTGAGGTCTCAGGAGTCTTTGCTGCCATTATCAATGCACTGGAGCTGTGGGAGGAGCTGCAGGGGACAGAGGAGCAGGGCAGATGTCAGGGAATTTGAACCTCGCCTGCATTTCTCTAGGCTTACTGGGCTGCAGCCCCTCTCCCAGGAGCATACCCTGGTTTCCTAGGCAGCCCCTCCTCTGTGCAGTTACTGCCCCTGCTCACTTCCTGACACTTTCCCATCCTGCCTGAGCACTGAGCCTCCTCCAGCCCGTCTCCTCCATAGTGAGGGGCCCTGCGCAGGGCAGGGTAAAGCACATGCGTAACAGACAGGTCCCCCAACATGCACATTGTGGAGTGTGGTGGAGGCAGCTGGTTCCTGCCCACTTTTCCCGGGCAAAGGCTCCTGCTATCTCCTCCCCCACTCCCCAGACCCACTCGGGCCTCAGACTCTGCCCACCAAAGCCGCTTCCTCCCCCGTCCTGTGACAGATGGAACAACTGTCACCGGGGCGTTCAGCCTTCCTGCCAGGGAAATGTGGACATGGGAGATTCGGCGAGCTTCCACCCATTCTCATCCAAAGCAGTCATGAGGATTGTCACATTCGACCCTCCCACTGGTTCTGAGGGGTGGCATCATCACCATGCATCCCAGTTGAGGAAACCAAGGTCCCTGGACCCCAAGAACCCAGAGAAAGTTAGATCAAGATGGGCGCTCTGGGACTTCCACGCCAGAGCTCCTCCCCAGGCCCACCATCCCTGGGTCTCCCCAACCTAGAAACTGACCCAGCCCACACATGTTTCAAGGATGCATGCTCCCAACCTCCCAAGAGCTTGCCCAGAGTCTGGGGGACCAGGAGGGTGAGGAGAACGGGTGACCGGCCCAGGGGCAAAGTGGGTAGCAGAGACAAGGAGGAAGAGAGACTCATGCAAAAGTGTTGTTTTTTATTTTCTTTCTCGGGCCAGCTGCAGCTTCCAACTAAGAAAACCTCAAAGCATTAGGGAAGGAGCAGGTGTGGGGCTGGGGTCGGGGACAACCCCCTAAGCTCCAGGGCCCAGGCTCTAACCTGAGAGGTCGGGGCTGCAGGAGGCTGGGGGAAGCTCCCAGAGTTTGGGGGAAGAGGAGCTTGCCCCCCGTAGAGACAGCAAGTCTCAGCGGCTACATGTGCTTTAGAGCTTGGCTGGGGGACAAAAGTGGGAGAGACAGAAACCGGCCTCATGAATCAGCTGGTCAGGAGATGGGGGGCCAGATACTGACCCCAAACCCCCGGCAGCACCCCTAGCAAATAAGTCTGTATCAAAGATTCTGTACAGCTGGTTTTGGGGGTGAAGGGCACCTATGGGGGCTTAAATAAATGGGCAGGGAGCAAGGGATGTAGCGAGAGCAGAGGGTGACTGTCCAGCCAGCAGCCTGGGCCTCTGGTGCCCCCGCATGCTGACCCCCGCTGCCACCTGCCCACTGTGGCCTGCGGGACTCCCCAGGTGGGAAAGGAGGGAAGCTCTCCAGCAAGTCTCGGCCCCACCTCTCTCTAAGCAGATGGGACAGGAAGACGGGCGCTGGGAGGCTGGGTGGGGCTTAGCGCAGGTCCTCCTCGTCGCCCTGGATGGTCTTCTTGATGCGCAGCAGCATGGTGGTGAGCCACTGGTCCAGCCGGGAGATGGAGTCATATTCCTTCACCTGAGGGCACACCAGGTGATGGGCTGGCCATGCTCCTCCCTGTTCCCAACCCTGCAGCCCAAGGGCACTTGTCTGAAGGTTTTCAAGATCTGTCCCTGTCACCCTGGTCTCTGAGAAGGAGCAGAGGGAGGGCTCGAGGCCCCGACTCAGCCAGGGGAGCTCCTTCTTGTCTGTCTTGACTATGCTAGGCACAACATTTCCCTTGGGGGAGAAAGATTGTAGCTTTAAAAAAAAAAAAGGTCCAGCATCCTCATTGAATGGGTGGCAAACTGAGGCCTGGAGATACGGAAAAGGCCACTCCTGAGTGCCATGGGGCATGGGAGAGAGAAGCTGCAGCCTGCTGGGCATCCCCTCCCTGAGCTCCTGGCTGAGTTCCCACCCACTGTCTGGGGCAAGAGGAACCGGATGGCATTTGCTCGCTGTCCTCAGCTAGGGGCTTCCATTCCCGAGGGGCACCTGGGGAGAAATGCTTGACATGTGCCATTAGAGAAGCGAATCAGGACCTGAGCCGGATGCCACTGAGCCCGGGAACGCTGGGAACAGAGAAAGGGAAGGGAGAGAGAGCCACGTGGGCGGCTCCACCAGGCAGAGGGAAGCTGGCGCCTCTCCCGTGTCCTCAGCTCCACTCTCCTTCTCACCCTTTCCCTCCCAGTCTGTGCCTCCTGGGTGCCCAAGGCGGCCACTGTGAGTCTCACACACTCAACTGGGGGACTCAAGGAACCCTGGTCTTCAGGAGCAGACAGATGTGGCTCTGACCACCAGCTCTGCCCCTGAGGTGCCAAGGCCACCATCTATAAAATGGGGAAAACACTCCCTGCATCTCTTGGGGCTACTTGTGAGGTTTCTGGGGTGACTGGAGAAAGAAATTCACAGTGGG